AAGGTACATGTAATATGTAACCTCTCTCAGCATGTGAAATATTACCACCTAGGTTACCGTTTTACACACTTGAGTTGTTCTCCAGTCCCAGGGGCTAGTACCTGATTTCCTGTGTATGCAGGCCCATGGGTGGGTCAGGGGCTATTAGTATTGGGCCAAACTGACTCCATTAATTGGATGACATCAACAAACTCAGTTTGTTGACTCAATTTTTGTCCATTTCCAAGCTAGTACAAGGTAAAAACTTATGTTTTTTCAAAGAAAAGTTTGCAACCATGCTGTTCCTCTAGATACCTTTAAAACGGTTGCAAATTGACAGAGGTCTAAAGGAAAAGAAGCAGATGCCAGAAGAAACCCGAAGGTCCAAATAATGATTTGCTTGTACCACTGACTTTAACCAAACTGTAAGAAAGTTGAAGACATTTCATTATAACATAATTGCAAACTCCTAAATAGAGTGAAACTAAATCTGTGTCCCTTTTTCTGGGACAACATTCCCCTGTGACTTCTACAGGTGCTCCCAGATAATTGGTTGAAGCTTCCGATTTCCTTCTCTTAGTATCATCTTATAAGTCAAGTAAGTCAAGTCAAGTATAAGTCCAACCTTATAATAGCAAGTGTGTGGTAGTAGAAGTAGAAGTTTTTCCAGACAGTACGTAGTTGTTTGTCTCCTATTGTTGTGTTGTACCGAATAGTGTCTTTGACTGTAAAAGCAATTAGACCTCGGGCATGATTTTGCAAAATGAAGTTTATATAATAGCTAAAATTAAATGCTAGAAGGTACTTCTACATCATAACATTGATGTTAGAAATTTAGAGCTGCCCCTCTTTCAAAAAGAGTCAAGTGTTAGAATTGGTGTTGCTGTTTGGACAAAATATGCAACGTCAATCGAAGTAAATAGTAGTTTCAGAAAGAAGACAAAGAGCTGACCTAGTAAGTTTTATTGATTTCTTGCATCATTATGTGATCAACACGCGGAAGAAAAATGGTCGGGAAGATTTGTTCTCTTGTGTAATGCACGGCTTATGGGCGGACCGTTAGATCCATGTGTGATGTGTGTTTAATAAGGGTGGTTAAGCCCCCGAGCCATTGCCGTTAGTCACTTATAATGTCATCCTTGTTCGCTTTATGTTAGCACGAGAATCATAAATGGGATGCAGGTGAATTTTATTGTGAAGGGACTAAATGCTTTCATGGCTGCATCCTTTTGTGTGTTAAAAGGTAGTAGAGACTTAGCAAAATGAAATGAGGATTAAATGTTTTAGGAAAATGTCAATTTGGCAGAGATTTCGTAATTGAATGCTAATACAATGTATAGTATACTGTAACTATAGCTGCAACAATTCGGCAAGCTCCAATTCAGCTGATAAAAATACATATTGGGGAAAGCATTTAGAGAACTTAAATCACTCTGGAAAATTATAGTGTTCATCAGACCTGGAATAAAAGTTTTCACAGCTTACAAAAGTTTAGAATTGAATATTTTGCCGTCTTGATGCCTGTTTTTGAAGATAAAATTGCCTTCATGTATGTTGTTTAACAGAGAGAAATGAGTTGTAGATATATGACCAGATTTTATCTTTTTGCTTAAGTGGCAGTCATTTATGAATAATATATCTGTCTACATTGTGAGTTTAATGTCAAGCATCGAATGCCAACTCCACCGAGGTCCTGATTTATCGTAGATTAGACTTCAAATGAAACAGGAGAACAATGAATGCTACATGTACATGTAGGTATGAGGGCTTATTTATATGCAAGAGAGTTGGGGATAGTCACTGTGCAGAATGTTAAAAAATTGATATGAAAATTTCGCATTCCAATAATCAACATATAAAGTAACACTCCCTAAGTGTAAAATTATAGTCAGACAATTTTTCTAAAAAGTGGCAAGTTGGTCTCAGATTGAGTCAAAATCTGAATGTTCTGGGTTTGAATCCCTAGCACTAGCAGGTTCCACTGTTGATATCCTAATAATGGGAAAGGCACTTTACACCTACTAGTACATGATTTTATTTCCTTACTTGACTCAGGTAAAAATGAGTACCTACTAGCTGCTTATTTGGTTGGGATGTCCTCTCAGATGCGACCTAAAACCTAAGGCACTGTACTGTGTTTAAGGATCTAGCCTTTCACCTCAAGAAGGCAAATGTTTAAAGTACATGTACACATGTATGTGTGTGGCCCCTGATTATCAAATATCACATGATAGATCCCTTGTTTCGTGAACTGAGACTCCACCCCCCACCAGTAATGAACCTTCTCTCACCATCCCCTCCCACCAGTAATGAACCTTCCCTGAGTGTACTTAAGTACCCATTAGAAGGGATGAGGATGTGGTCCCTCTAGTGAGTTGTGTTATTATCTTCCATATGCATCTAAGTGTTGATAATGCACAATTCCAAAACTGTATGCACCAAACCATGGCCTTTTTATATCCCTACACCTACTTGTGGATTTTATCTTATTATCATAATAATATTTAGTTTTCAAAGATGCCTAGAATTGCATAATTCGGCCAGTTTTAGTTTAGTTTGTATCATTTGGTTGCAATGTTCTTTTAATGTATGTAATCAGTCAGTAACCCAAAATTCATTATTTATGCTACAAATACCTTTTACATCCCTGTATTTTATTTCTAATAGTGTGTATACATAATATAGAATGATTGTATAATTTGTCGATATTTCTTTCTTTGCCTTTTCATGAGAAGATTAGTAATAAATTTATTTTTGAAGTACCTATTGTCTTCGTGCTTGTTGTGAAATCAGGACTCGTATGTTACATACAAGCAAAATCTTTTGTTATACAGACATCAATTTGCATCAGATCTGGAGCTGAATTATGATACAGCCAACTTTGTGACATATGGTTTTGAAAGATAACACAAAATCAAATTCTAATAGATTGCTTTTTGATATGCAATTGTCTTCATTTGCTGGATATAAAAATAGGGCTCATTCTTTGCAAGCAATTGCCTTTTGGTAGTCAAAACATACTTAGAAGTCTGCATCTGATAAAACTGATTCATAAATAACAGTGTACATCTGATAATAAAAGCTATAGTAATAAATGTAACATCTATCTGTCTTGTGACATTATAGTTTTTGAGAGATAGCAGAAAAATCGAACTGCATAGATTCTTTTTTTAGATTTTTTTACGCAGATGTGTGCACTTTATGCTGTGATTACTATGTATTTGCTTGCAGGGCTGGAAATACCACCAGGTCCTGCATATGCACCTTTAACTTAGTGCAGGTAGAATTGGAGCTGTGCAGGTATTTCTGATTGTCTACTTGCACCTAACCTGTACTGGTCCATGTACTGGGTTTATATATGGTGGATGTGGATTCTAGATCTTATTTGCTCCATTCACTGTCACCACATATATATGAAAGTAATAAAAGAAATAATGACAATATCAATGATTTCTGAACAGTTTTTAAAAATCATGATCCATACTTCCTAATGAAGAATACTAAATTCTGAGTGGTACAGGTGCACTTTTTAATACATTGTATTACATTGCATTACATTGTATGCATCTAAAAAAGGTATTTCAAGCCCTGGTGTGCATTGTAAGGTTTGATATTGTATGTAGCTGTACAGGTATTTCTGATGTCTTCCTGCATCTAACCTGCACTAGATAGTCCTGTCGGTGGTACAGGTGCACTTTTCAATATTTCAAGCCCTGGTCTACATTGTAAGTTTTGATATTGTATGTCTGTCATAATTCCATGTGTGACAACTAATCAATAATCAATAGATTGCTGTCGGAATGGGAGATGCGATCATGTGTAAAAACAATATGTAATCGCTCTGGTCGCATTGAAAGCTTTCTCATTGCATTATCGATTCAGAGGTCAACGAGCGGAAAAAATTGACCCATTAAAATATCGCAAGATGGGAAGTTAATGTTGGGCTTTATGCTAAGTCAGCTTCTGATGGAGAAAAAATGTTTCAGAGCATTCTAGAAAATGTTGATTTTTTTAGTCTTTGTTTGGAGCTTACCTTTGTTTTGATATAGCGTCATCCTTGTACATGTTAATTGGCATTATGTATATATATGATTTTAGTCTATTGTGCTAACAGACACTCATGAATTGTTTAATGAGAGAAAGATTTAAGATTAGCATATTTAAGACTTAAGTGCTATTTTTATAATTTGTAGATTGATCTATTTTTATTGTATGAAAATTGATACATAAAAATGATAACTAACAACTATAATGACTTTTGACAGCCTAATCTATTGGAATAGGTTTGTCAACAAAATTCTAGATAGAGATATTGATTTTAATTAATGAAAGAAATCATCAAATATAAGTATTATCATTATGTATTTATTAACTGTTACAATAAATACATTATACATTAAAAACGGTTTGTGTAGAAAAAAATTGTCTGTGATGTGCTGTGAAACATGTAATAGTTTTCCCCCTGCCCGAGAGTTCTGTATTTATTGAACAGAACGATCCTGGTCACCCCCACAATCACTCCGTATCACTCCACTCATCAGCAGAGACGCTCCTCTACAGCCTCCGTAGCTAACACAACGTACTCATCAGTAATCTCGCTCACTTTCTCATTATGTTATTATTATTGTTGTCATATTAATATTGTTGTGGCTTTTTCTCTCGTTAATTTGTACTTGTTTTTTGATATGTGGTCGCAGAAGTGAGCATTTGTAAATTACCTGATACGTGTACATTGTGTTACTCTTTTCATCATTTGAAATGTTATTATTATACTTGTCATATTAATATTGCTAAGGCTTTATCTCCCATTTATTTGTACTTGTTTTTTTTTTATATGGCCGTAGAGAAGCATTTCTAGATTACCTGATACATGTACATTGTGATACTCTTTTCATTACTTGAAATGTCCCTTTCCTTTTTCATGTATTGCATACTACTTCCTGATATCTTTGTGTGTTTCTTTGAGTTAAACGTGTAACTGAGAGGTTAAGAGATTTGTGTTTTGTTTATTTCTTATGCAGGTGTGATAAAGCTCATTAGGACTGGACTTCGGACAACGAGATAGGAGACTGACGGAACCGCGCACTGCAACCAGTTGATTTTACAACATGTGAGTTTCTTTTCCGTTAGTATTTTGTAGCAGATTATTGCTGTGTTGAAAGATAATTTCATTTCCAACATAATCTATTGCAATGTGTTATAATGCTATATAAACGTGTCTTGGAATACTGTAAAATCAAGGCTTGAAATACTTTATTCTGCATACCTATACTGATGCTTGCTTTTTTTGTAACATTCAAATTTTTATGTAGAATACACCAGATCCCTGCAAAAGTCATTTTTATTGCCTTTCAATCAATCACAAAATGTAGTGTTTTTAAAATATCATATTACTAGTAATAGTAGTATGACCATTTTGAACCCTTACTGTATGGGATGCTACTATGAAGAATGTGAGGCATTTTAGACCACTTAGTGGCTGGCCGTCTGTCACACAAGTGTGTGGTTTTGTCGTGGCCCAGTGCAGGTTAGCTACTAGATATATATACAACTTTAATTTTACCTGCACTAAGCTGCATATGCAGAGCAAATATTTTGAGTCTTCCTGATAATCTAGGGCTTGAAAAACCATCTACATAATGCTTATAGTGCAGGTAAAATTGGAGCTGTATACTACTAGGTATTTCTGATGTCTACCTGCACCTAACCTGCACCAGTCCATGTACTGGGTCTATATATGTCATACATGTACTAGGTGTATGTGGATTTTCCTTTGCTGCATTAACTGTTTATAATTTGTTACCTTGTACAGTGTAAGAAGTACAAATTTTAAAGCAATAATGGCATGAGGGTTCCTGATCAGTTTTTAGTGTGATCCTGATACTTTACTAAAGTCTGAGTGGTGCAGGTAGAATTTTTCTGTTGCAGGTAATTTTCAGTGTTAACTACAGTATTCCAGTAGTGCAGATATGCAGAAAAAGTATTTAGAGTGCGATGACATGACCTTATTATATGCAAGCCCTTTTATACACATTGTGACCTCCCGAGGCCAATGGATCCAGATGAGCAAATTGAAATCTATAGCCAGAGATATGCAGCGAAAATTACTTTCAGCAACACCAAATTGAAATGTACAGTGCCAATCTCAATACTGTGACCAACGCATGTTCTTTTTTGATTGCATTTTCGACCTCTTACAATACACAGCCAGATAGTTTTATATTGTAAAGATGGAGTTTTTAAGTGCCATTTTAGGTGTTTATTAGTATTCCAAAACGGAGTCCAAAATTCATAAATGACATCAAACGTTTGCAAGGTACTTAGAATTCTAGAGAGAGGGTCGCATGAAAGAAAAATTATATTAAAATATTGTAAAGATAGCACTTGGGGTTTATTAGTAGTCCAAAATTCATAAATGACATCAAACGTTTGCGAGCTGCTTAAAATTTTAGAGCAAGGGATCGTATGTATGAAAGAAAAATTGATCTCATCCAAAATTCTGAAATATGAACAAGAATGATAGCTTCCCCTTACGCTGTAACTTACCCTATAAGTATAGCTATTACTGGTTGTCCGCCTGGAATACATGTGCCGTCGGTAAAAGCCACTAGTTGGTACACATTACTCTTTAAGGGGACCCAAGGGTACATTGTTGTAAATGACATGGGAAGGATAGAATTTGTTTTACTGCAAGAAAGTGGTTTGGGGAAAAAAGTGATTTCTGGGCTAGTTCATCTTTTGAGTTTTTTTTTTTAAGTTGAAGGTAAAGGTTGTTACTGTCCCTGAGTGGCTTGGCTACAGCGAAATAATGATTGTTGGATATGGATGTGCACGTATGCCAATGAATGGCTCAACTGTATGATATATACATGTACCAGTTGCTAGCAAAATTTTGATAAATGAGATGGCTGAATTGTCTTTTAGTGTTATTGGGCAAGCCATGACCTGAGTTTATACTAGAGTTTTCCATTTGATTCAACATAATTGTTCAATAAATGATAAATTTTGATATTCAATGGAATACCTGTATATAGTTTCCTGACACTACAATGTACAACTATTACAGTGATTTTTTTCAAATCAAGTCAAATACAAATCATGCATGTGTAGGGAAAAAAATTGGTACGCATGACGCACAAATTGAATTCAAACTAGCCTGTCAAAATGGTACAATTCGTTTCACGTTTCTTTACTGGTAGCTGCAGATATAAGCACCATCTATTACCAATTGCAATTTCCCTGCATGGCACCAATCGTCCGAGGTCCAGCAAAAGTAATCGTGGAAGTGGATATATTTGTGCAGAGGCGATCGGTTTGGTACAAGGTTGGGGTGTCAAGTGAATTATCTTTTACAGGTTTTTTGGGCCATTTTGGTGTGATTTTTTGGATGTCATCTGGGACTTTCCAATTTGATGTAAAAGTATGGGACTTTCTGAATTTTTTTATGATTTGCAAAAAAAAGCGTTTCAGCCTCTGAATCAACTCCAAAATGCTCATAGTTTGGTCCAAACAGTTAAAGGAGGTCCCCTCTCTTCAGAGTTGTTACAGTTTTTCTATCTATCAATGCAGTGATTAAAAGTTTAAAATCCATTGTTTAAAATCATTTAGTAATCCAGCCTTTTGTTGTGTTGACTTCATGGCTCCTATCGTAGCATTCGGTGCTATAATGGGATGCCTAGACCTGTTGTTATTTTATTTTTTCGCCCTGTTGCTTCATATTTTCTCTGAAAAAATCTAAGAACTAAAAAATTAAATTGGTGTGGCCTAAAATCTTCTTTAATTTTTTTTTTTCTCCAGGAAGCAGACTCGCCCCAACATCCGGGAACCCCAGACCGTCATGGCCACCAGCTTCAGCTTCACCCATGCTGCCGTGCTATTGGTGGTCGCCGTGGTTACCTGCTACTGGAACTCGTTGTTCTGCGGTTTCGTGTTTGACGACATGTCGGCCATCAAGGACAACCGCGACCTCCGACCTTCAACCCCCGTCTTCAACCTGTTCCTCAACGACTTCTGGGGAACTCCCATGCACATGGTCAGTTTTTCTTTCTTCATTTTATTATGTTTACTGAAAGAAAACGTATTGTTTTTGCTCCGTTTCTTCTTCCTCTTCTTCTCCAAACAAAAGAAGGTCAATAACCTGAACCAGATGTCTGTCAGCATGGTAAGTTCTCTTCAAATCTACTTCAATTTGCATCTCAAAACAAGGCTCAAATCAAACACTAATGTTTAAGGTTCAGGTGGATTTTGGAAAGATTTACTAAATATGACATAAATCAAATGTAGAAAAATGCATGCACACACACAAACACATACACACATTGCAAGATCCCCTTTTCAGCACCAAGGACAGATACCCAGGTATAGTTGCATATTGTACTAATCTGTGTTCAGGAATGTGATGAAATGACATAGAATTTTGTGCCAGGAGATATGTGGATGTCTTCCCTTAACTGCTTAATTTGTTTTTGGTGTTGCTAACATTCTTGCTCATTTCATATTGTACACCCAAGATTTTTCGTGACCATTAAGTTAGTTCATTTTATTACCAAAAATGAGTTTCGAGCCCTGCAGTTTTAGGCGTCTGTCTGTCTCGTGAGAGGTCACCAGAGCACCAGAGGTCACGGTGTGGTCCCTCTGTACATACCCAAGCAGAGGGAATCAAAACGTCGTCCTGACATCACTGGAGCTGAATTAATGGGGTAACATGTCTGCTCAGACATGAAAGAAACTGGTGAATAATGGATAACGCTTTGATTTGAATTTAGATCCCATAACTGCCTCTTAACATGCCCAGATGTCACTCAAGTAGAAAGTCCGAATATTTTAATTTTAACTGCTGAAATCTTTATTTAGTGATTAGCAATTTATAGAATGTTTCCATCATAAGTGTAACATATTAGTACATGTACATGGTTTGGCTAATATGTTATTTGCTGTTAATGGCCTACTAGTCACAATATCGTGGTTTCAATTCCTACATTAACTGAGCTAGATGTTGTATCCTTGGGAAAGGTACTTTTTACACAATAAAGAACTTTCCTCACTCCACCCAGGTGTAAAATGGGTACTTTAGTTTGTGACAGAGGTAAAAGGCAGTGGAAGGAGAGGGATGGGCTCTCATAATTATACAGGTTTAGGTCCGAACCTGTACCTAAACTTGTGTACCTGTACCTGTACCTAAAATTTGGTACACAGCTCTACACCCAAGTGTAAAATGGATACTTGACTTCAGTTGGGGAGGTAAAAGGCAGTGGAAGGAGAGGTATGGGCTCTGTCTTCCAATACCATGCCCTAGACACAGTGGATCAACAACCCATTGTCCCTACAGCCTCAAAAAAGCTATCAGATCTTTACCATTACCCTTTTCTTTAGTACTTTGTATTCAGGTGCCTCCTAGGGACAAGTTTTGAATGCCATCCATTACCCCATGTCTGTAACAATGACACTGTTCTGCACCTTAGTGTGGAACTTTGAACTCATGAAGGATCCTGTATCCACTATGATGCATTACACATATTATAGACTTAACAATACTCAGGCCTTGTGTTGTGTTTCCTGTTTCCCGACTGACCCTAGAAAAACCTGCTGACCCTAGTCTTTTTTGGGGGGTGGGGTAGACCCCTAGGCCTGCAAGGGACATAATTTTTCAAGCTGATCAATCTTTTCTAGCTCCATGATCTGACACCTGAGTGATGAAACGTTGTACAATTGGTTTTCTAACAATTATTCCATTGAAGATAAAAGTGTCCTTATGGAGGTTTTACTTTGTTTAACTGTATTGTATAAGTTAGACTCCTATATTGATATCACTGAAGTTTAAAAAAAAGAATAAAAAAAGATAATCCCTTACCTACCGACCCTAATTTTTTCAGGACTGAAACAAGAAACACAACATTTTTTTCCTAGGCCTCACTTAGAGAGACTTTCCTCAACTGTTGGGGACAAAATATGAGCATATTTGAGTTGATTCAAAACCAGAATCTTTTTTGTTTTTTGCAAATCAGAACAAAATGAAGCGGCGAATCCAAGAACCAACAAATTAAATTGATGTGGCCTAACAATAGTCACCAAGAGAGACTTAGGAACAAAGTAAACCGCACCATCACAGACAGATTAGGTCTGCACCTAATGGTCATCTGGGGTATGAAATATTCCCTCTGTGGGATGATGGACCTCCCTAAACACCCATGCTGGACATACTTTATTGATCAGTTAGAATGTTTTAAACTGGTACATGTGTCGTTTATCTGGCTTTGGGTGAGAGAAAACATTGTTTGACTGAAGCAACTGACTTGACTGTGTCGTGATCAAGTTTCATAATATATATAGATTAAGTGACTATCACATGAAACATGAAAAGACTATTTGTTAATTGTATCAATCATACATCTACTGTATATTCGTGGTACAGTGTACTGTCCAATGTACTGTACATACAAGTGACCACCTCTACATAAGGATCATCTCAACATGAGGGGTTAGGGTTAGGGTTTTGGTGGTACCCTAGATGATTTTTCCATTCACACAAAGATTAAAAATCCTGTCTATAGTGACCATCTGTCCACATAGACCAGATTTTATCAGTCCCCAGAGTGACTGGTCTTCTTAGGCAGTTTTGCTGTGCTGTGATTGAATTTAGAGAAAAAAGTTATTACTTTAAAAGAATCTTTGTAATGTTTCTCCAAGCAATGAAATCCAGAGCAATTACCGTAATACTTGTAGTAGTTATACGGTCAAACCTGTACTAGTGACCACCTCTACATTTTCTCCTGAGTGGTCTACTTTAGCAGTTTTGACTCTACAGAACTGTTCTTGCAAAGCTTCTCCAAGCAGCAATTCATAGCAGTTACATAGCATCAGTATAGTTGTTGTACAGGTGATGGATCCGGTGACTTAACGTAATGCGGGGGCAGCGCCACTTCAGAGGCGATTACCGCGCCGTGATCAGGGATTCGGCGGCGGGTCAATACACGTGCTTAAGGCTGACTGGCTAATGTGGTCGTCGACAGGAGGCTTCCTAATGGATGTCATAAGCTAAGGGACCTGTGCGCTGACTATGGAAGGGACTTAAGGGGCCTTCTCAGAAGAACCATGTATTTTCTTGACAAAATTTGTACATTTAAGACAGTTTGAACTGCAATTGCCAACACAGGAAATCGGACTCACACAAATTTTCGACCATGCAACTCCAGTCTTTGTCAAGGAACGAGCAATCCACTGCTTCCGTGACGTCACGCAGATAACACACGTGACTCCGTGAGCAGTGGATCGTAGGTTGCAGAAAGTCTGTGGCGCTCCCCGTCTCTGTTGAGGGATAGTTGCAATGCCCTGATGTCATAAGCTTGTGCGCTGACTATGGAAGGGACTTAAGGGGCCTTCCCAGAAGAACCATATATTTTCTCAACAAAATTTGTACATTGGAAAACAAGTTTTAACTGCAATGGCCAACACAAGAAATTGGACTCACCCAAATAAATTTTTGACTGTGCAACTCCAGTCTTTTGTCAAGGAATGAGCAATCCACCGCTTCCGTGACATCACGCAGATAACAGTGAGCAGTGGATCATAGGTAGCAGAAAGTCTGTGGCGCCCCCCCCCCCGTCTTTGTCTGTCTTATTCAAGGGTGAAAATCTATCTGCCCTTCTGCAATGGTAGTTTTATGAGAAATCCTCGTTTTCCAACAGTTTTATGGCAGTTCTCTCATTTCGTGGTAGTTTTACGAAGGGACTGCATGTGGGAATAAGTTATAATGGCTCCGAATGACGTCTCAATTTACCACATCTTGTTAACTGGCCGTAGGCATCCAGTTGTAAATCACTTCTCGTCTTACTGTTAAAATGGGTGACAAATTCATTAGGGGTGGGGGAACATACCAAAGTCAATTCATGAAAAAAGCTGATCTCAGATGAAGCCAATTTGACACTAGTTACATGATTGTATGACAGGGAAGACAGATGATATGTGCTGAATGTAATGCTGGTTCATTTTGCTGGGAAAATTCCCCAGGCTCTAATTTCAACAACTGGGTTTGAAATACCCGACACTCTTGCACTCTCGTCACGCAAGTTATATTTTCTGCGTGAAACTTATTGGAGACACTAGGTTGCCTAGCCTGACTTGGCAGATATCAATTTTTAGCATTCAAAGCTACTTTTTAAACGTTTACAGCGGCCCAGCTTATGGCCATGGTAACTAGTGCTGGGTTACATCATGTTGCAATTTTATAGCAGGAGGGATTTAGACTCCTGTCACCAAAATATATGAATGTGTTTGAGTAACATAGCAGACCACATGCGAAGGTAAACAGGTATTTCGAACCCAGTACTTGAAATTTTTTTTTATTAGGAGAAGAGTCACCAGTCCTACTGCCCAGTATGTCTGTTTGTCTGGACAGTACATGACAGCACGTGGGTGGGTGAAGATTGACAGGCAGAATGACAGCTGCTGGTCAGAGGTCTCAGAATCTGTCTGCCCCGAATGCCCTACTTTCTGTGACCCCGGGGCTCGTTCACTATACACTCAGGGGAGGAGTGCACTGTATCTGTCTAGACTTAACAGGTACCAAGGCTTCCTCGAAATCATAAAAATCAGGGTATTGCCAACAATAACCTGAATAACAGCAACCACCGTCGCCATGGCAATGTATGTTTTCATTGCCAGTCTTGTTGTTTTTGTAGGAGAAGAGTCACAAGTCGTACCGCCCCCTGTGTGTGCTGACGTTTCGGCTGAACTACCTTCTCCATGAGCTGGAGCCCCTGGGGTACCACCTGGTGAACCTGTGTCTGCACGCCGCGGTGTGTGTGCTGTACATGAGTGTCTGCTGTATGTTTGCCAGCCTGGGGACTAGCTTCCTGGCAGCACTGCTGTTCGCTGTTCATCCCATACACACTGAGGCAGTAAGTACTGTAGACAAGTGTAATTAACCTGAGGTGTTCAAAAACTCACATTTTTCTGCAACTATTGTAAATTGGAACTGCTGTCACCAAGTACAGTTGGGGCATTATCACTATTAGATAGCTTCCTGGCCGCACTGCTCTTCGCTGTTTATCCCATACACACCGAAGCGGTAAGTACACATAGCCTAGTTACCAGATCTATTATAGCTTCCGAGTCCTACATCCTCTCCGCAAATAGCCTGGTTACCAGACCTATCATAGCTCTCAAGTATGTGGAGAGCATGTAGGACTCAGGAGCTATAATAGGTCTGGTAACCAGGCTAAAGTAGACAAGTGTTATCAACCAATGATTGAGGTGTTAAAAAACTCATATTTTCCTAGAACTATCGTAGGTTGGAACTATCGTAGGCTGCCACCAAGTACAGTTGGGGCATCATCGATAGATAGCTTTAAGCAATACAGACATGCACCCAGTCGTTGTGCCCTTGGGATAGGCACTTAACACGTATTCCCCCCTTAGTTAGAGGGATCCTGTGCCCTTCTTGGGTTTGGGTTGGCGTCAGGAAGGGCATCCAGCTGTAAAAAAAATCTTGCTTCAAAAAAAGACTTGCACTTGATGCAAGCACATCCAACCCCCGATTTTGGGGAAAAAAGACGTTCTAAGTTGAATAGAGAATAGAGACAATACTAACAGTTTGTTCTGTGTTGGTGTTGCAGGTGACAGGTGTGGTGGGGCGTGCAGAGCTCCTCTCCTCTCTGTTCTTCCTGGCTGCCTTCAGATGTTACACCTGCTGCTGCAGATCTACAAAACCTGCAGGTGGGTTCCATCAGCACTGTCCACGGTACTGAAACACTCTCCCTGCCCTGTTGTACATGTCAAAGCACTGTCCATGGTGCAGATTGTACAAGCCCTAAAAATACAGCACTGTCCACGGTACTAAAACACTCTCCCTGCCCTATTGTACATGTTAAAACACTGTCCATGGTGCAGATTGTACAATCCCTGAAAAATACAGCCCTGTCCATGGTGCTGAAAATCCATCCCTGTCGCTGTATAAAATACATCCCTCTCTCTAAAAATGCCATCCCTGTCCCTGGTACTGAAATCACTATCTCTGGTGCTCAAAAGTCCATCCCTGTGTCTGAAAAAGTTTCCTGGCCTTGGTGCTGAAAGCACCATTCTTTGCAAGTGCTTTTCCTGCCCTTGGTGCTGAAAGCACTATCCCTTTCACTGAACATGTTTTTTTCTGTTCTTGGTTCTGAAAAGGCTATCCCTGTCCCTGGTGCTAAATACACTGTCCCTGGTACAGAAAACCTTATCCCTGGTCTTGGTGCTGAAAACATCATGTATCAATTTGAAAACATTTTATTTCATCTGTGAGAACAGTGAATGTTAAAATGTTCCTTTTCTTGCTTTGTTTGTGCTGTTGTTAGGTTGGAGTTATGTGATGTACACAGTTCTCCTAACCAGTGCTGCCACCCTGTGTAAGGAACAGGGCATCACAGTCATAGGGGTGTGCTGTGTGTATGACGTGTTCATCGCACAGAGGGTAAGACATTTCTTTTAGGATTGTCATGAACATGGAGATAAGTTAATTTATGCTATCTTTGTCTTGTTTTAGTACTATTGATTAAAATGAGATAGTTAATTTCTTCTATGTGCTGAAATACTTAGGCTATTGGTTTGTGTTTCCACTTTGCTTTGTTATATATTACTCTTTGATTTCGAGAGCGATTTCTTTTTTGGGGAAAAAATAGGAAACAAGAAGTCTCTTTTAACCTTCTTTCTGCTGCTAAAACTGTGCTTCAGTGTGCTAAGGGTTAAAGGAAGGATACTTTTATTACTTTTTAATTTACTTTCTAATTTTCTAAGCTTTAGCTTAAATGTTAGGACCTCTCTTTCTATCGTAACAACTGTAATAGACATACGTAATACATTTGTACATTACTTTATGATTAAAAATGATAAAAATGTCATTTTTTGTATTTTTGACAGAAAACTATACAGGACCTTCTCTTCACTGCCTACTCTCTTTTGTCGGGAAAGTCGGGTCTTCCTCCATGGTTGAAGAGTTCGATAGCTCGTACTCTACTACTCGTCCTGAGCACAGCCTGCTTAATGCTGGCCAGGGTCAAGGTCATGGGGGCACAGCTGCCTGTCTTCACCAGGTAATAGGTCATAGGTCGTGACCTCAATTTGACCCAGTTTAACAAATATTTCAGGTTCTACAAGATAAGTTCTCACTTTAATATAATATATTTATAATTATAGGTTATACTAATAGATATAGGCAATAATTATAGACTGTCTCCATAATTATGTTTAACGAAGGAAAACATATTGTTTTTGCTCAGTGTCTTCTTCTTCTCCAAACACTGACCTCTGACCTGGTCAATGACCTGAGCCAGACCGTCTCACACCATGGTAACTGGTGTTGGGTTACATGATGTTATATTTTAGACTGGGAGGGATTTAGACTCCTGTCACCATATAATATGTGAATGTGTTTGAGTAAGAATTAACAGAGCAGACCATATGGGAAGGTAAACATTATGCATTTGCTTTGCAAAAGTTCCCTTAAGTTTCTAGTTTTGATAATTTTTGTCTCATCGTCCCAGATTTGACAACCCAGCCTCGGTGTCCCCGGCCCTGACCCGACAACTCACCTTCAACTACCTCCTGTCAATCAACGCTTGGCTCCTCCTCTTTCCGTCCGAGCTGTGCTGTGATTGGACGATGGGAACTGTGCCTTTGGTAGAGACGTTTAGCGATCCCAGAAACCTTTGCACACTGGCCTTCTGGGTAACCATGGCTAAGTTGGCTCAGAGTGCTCTAACTCGAGACGGGAAACGGGCTAAAGCAACAATTATGGTAGGTCAATTATCGGTCTATCCTACAATCCAAGATGACTTACGATGTGTTTTGTAATGAAAATTACAATTATAAGTGTATGAGTGTATGAGTATGACCTGATTTGTTGACATCTGTCACCATAGTAACTGGTGTTGGGTTACATAATGTTGCAATTCTATAGTAGGTGGGATTTATACTCCTGTCTGACCATATATTATATATGAATGTGTTTGAGTAAGAATTAACAGAGCAGACCATATGCAAAGGTAAACATTATGCATTTGCTTTGCAAATTTTACCTTCATCAGTTTCTAGTTAAGGGTGTCTTTTACTCTGACTCTCTGATTAAAAAAAAACCTTTTTCTTCCCCAGGCCTTATCTCTGATGGTGCTTCCGTTTCTCCCAGCATCCAATCTGTTCTTCCCAGTAGGCTTTGTGGTTGCCGAGCGGATCCTGTACATCCCCAGTATGGGCTTCTGTTTACTCATCGCCATGGGAACAAGCTTGCTAGCTAAACAAAGGTACAAAAAGTTGCTGTTTCCACCTCCACGTAAGAGAGTTGGCAAAGAGGTTGTAGATGTTAAGTTTTTTCCTCAAGTGTTTGTTTGGTCGATATTTCATTTGTTGGGTGGGAGTGCAACAGACAGGAACAGATACACGTAGGACAAAATGAAAGACATTGTAATATGTTTACTTCCTAAAAATGTGTGCATCAAGGCCTAAACTTGCAGTTGGCCCAAAGACTAGTAATAATGTTTTACTGAGAAACATTGACTAAAAAGTCATTCATGTTTCTAATCATTGTTTTGTTTTTGTTTTTGTTTTTTTATTCCAGAAACCTGAAGTACGTGACATATGCTGCTGTCTTCTCTTTACTGGTCTTCCACGGTGCCAAAACTATCAGGAGGAATTTTGACTGGTGAGTTTCTTCACCAGCCTCAGCTGAACAATATTATTGATTGCAGTACATTGTAGGGAATACTGTAAATTCAATTCTAATTACATGTATGTTGAACTAAAGTTCACAGTCTGAGAAAAATGGGCATGTTCATGGAACTATGGCAACATGTGCAGGAAAGAGAAACTCACTCACTCAAGTCCAGGAATTATTTGTTAACTGTAATCATAAGTTCACGGTACAGAATTGACAGTGAAAACAGTGAAGATAACAGCACCGTGAAAAAATAAAGTAACTGTAGTCTTATTGCTACTAACTGTAAAATTTAATGTGGAAATGTTCATAGTGGTATATAAATAACGAACATAAAACCATCCCAAATGCTCCATTTTCTCCCCACAGTAGAATTATTAAATCACCACAAACTTGCCATCTACCATAATCAATACAAAAGCTCCACCTTTGGAACTCTGAGTGTACTGCAGAAGCTATTGCCGGCAAAGTTTTTGCAGTCACAATTCAAGATCTGCAGTACACCAGTTTCTTTCTAGGTGGCGCTAGGAGTGTGTCATTTCCTACGAGTTTTGCATCCATGTTTGGAAACTACCATTTAATGATGGTGAAAGATCAAAATGAATAAAAAGAAAGTTCAGTAAATGACACCTATTTCCCTATTTCTAAACAAGTCTGCAAAGTTGGTTTTAAATAAAGATTGGATTTGATTTGATTCCCAACTGTAGTGGGATTTATTAATAAGTATCTTTCATGTCATGTTATGACATTTGTCATGTCAGCAGGGCAAGCCCTAAATTAAAATGTTGTAGTAGCCACTGGCTACTTGGGTTGCCCTGGCTTTGAGGTTTGAACAGCTTTTTTTAGTAAATTTTGTTTTTTTTCATGTAGGGAGTCAGAGTATAGTCTGTTCCAGTCTGCACTGAAAGTGAACACGAGGAACGCGAAGCTGTGGAACAACGTCGGGCATGCGCTTGAGAACCAGGACAGACACGCAGAGGCACTGGAGTATTTCCTCCGAGCTGCTGGGTAGGTTTGTGGTATGGCCACACCAATTCAATTTGTTGTTTCTTGGATTCACCCTGTCCATTTTCATGCAAAAAATTTAGGTGAGCCTAATTTTTTGTGTTGGTCATTACAGTTCAAACTTGTTTCTTTACAAACAGGGTCCCTATGAAGTTGACTTGACTGTTTTTCATGTTCCTTACTCAGAGTTCAGCCTGATGATATTGGTGCTCACATGAACGTTGGGAGGGCTTACAAAAATCTGGAGCGCTTTCAGGTGGGTCTCTTTGATCATGATATCATTTAACCAGGATAAACCAGCATGTGAATCTATCTCTCTCTCTCTCCCTCCTTCTCTCTCTCCCTCTTTCTCTCTCTATCTCTCTCTTTCTTAGGTCCATGATCCTTTGGACTTGATCAGTTATAATTCACGCCGCAGAAGGAAAACATATTGTTTTTGCTCGGTTTCTTCTTCCTCTTCTTCTTCTCCAAACAAATAACTAAAGGTCAACGACCTGGACCAGACGTCTGTCACCTTGGTAACTAGTGTTGGGTTATATACATCATTTTGCAATTTCATACATTTTAGCAGGAGGAATTTAGACTCCTGTCACCATATTCATTGTATATGAAGGTGTTTGAGTATTACAATGTAGAATTAACAGAGCAGACCATATGCGAAGGTAAACATTATGCATTTGCTTTATACATGTATTTAATATTATAATTATTATTGTGCTTTTTTGTTACCTACCAGGAGTCGGAGGAGGCATACAGGAAAGCGATGGCCCTGATGCCGTCCGTGATCCCGGGGAAGAAGTACGCCACGCGAGTCGCACCGAGTCACCTCAGCGTTTACGTGAACCTCGCCAACCTCATCCGGGAGGACGACGCCAGACTTATGGAAGCCGACTCGGTAATTCAGCAGCCTCCAGCTTAATACACCCATTTACCTTTCACGGATCGCATAAAATGCTTACGTCACAGTGGAGACATTTCGAATAGAACAACATTTTAGAACCATCTTTACCTTGTGCTGTCTGCCCTGGCAGGTTTGACGACGTTGGTAACTTCAGTAACTTCAATTTCTGAAAGTTCCTGGCCTGTGACGGTACAATGAAGCTTATCAATGCTTCACTGAAAGATGGCTGTCCTTGTTACCTTCCACCCATTCTCACCATTTGGCCGAATCTGATAGCAGAATGCAGACCATCACAGTAAACTGACAGGGCACTAAAGGAGCATCAAAATCATGGATTGTACTGTTTATTTGAAACAAAATAAATTTTAAAAACTGTTTATTTCTCAGCTGTATCGCCAGGCCATCAGTATGCGACCAGACTTTACCCAGGCGTACATCAACCGAGGGGAGGTGCTGATGAGACTCAACCGCTCTAAGGAGGCACAGCAGTCGTACGAGACGGCACTGCAACTGGACAGCGACAATCCTGACATACATTATAATGTGAGTTGAGGATGATACATGTGTATATGTACATGTGTGTATGTGCAAAGGCTAGCGGTTGGTGGAAAAAGCAGTCCAGTCCATGACATTCAGTAACACATCAGACCGCTTGCACTTTTAACGTGTTTTGCAAAACTACACTCAGAAATGACCAGACTGCTTTTCCCACCCCCAAATTGGACTGGGCTGCTTTTTTCTCCAATCAGAGTGGACTGGGTTTACCACCAACCCCAAAGGCTAGGTGTAAGTAGTTTGTTGTAATGATATGTAGTACACTTGTAAGGTGCAAATAGACAGCGACAATCCTGACATACATTATAATGTGAGTTAAGAATGATTAGAGTAACATGTAGATGTGTATATGTGTACACTGTGTATGTGCAAAGGCTAGGGGTTGGTGGAAAAAGCAGTCTAGTCCAACCCCAAAGGCTAGGTGTAAGTAGTTTGCTGTAGTGATATGTACAATGTAGTAAGGTGCAACTGGACAGCAACAATCCTGACATACATTATAATGTGAGTTCAGAATGTTTAGAGTTACATGTACATGTGTATAATTATGTGTACACTGTGTATGTGCAAAGGCTAGGAGTTGGTGGAAAAAGCAGTCTAGCCCGACCCTAAAGGCTAGGCGTAAGTAGTTTGGTGTAATGACATGTAGCCAGATATGAATAGAGTATCGTTGAGTCTAACTAGATACAGTCCACATTAAGAAGACACCTACATGTGTATTATGCACATACGCAAAAACTAAATACATGTACTAAGCTTGAAGACATGGCTATATTCAAAATTAGCAATAAACCAGGCTGCTTGCACAGCAGATGGGCTTGATGGAATTTAGAAGTTTCCTTCTTGATTCCTAACAGATTGTTTTCTACTCCTTTTAATTCCTTCCCAGTTGGGCATAGTGCTGCTAGAACAAGGGGACAGAAGTCGGGCCTTAAAGTCTCTAACCAGAGCACTGCAACTGGACCCTCATCATAAGGTGGGCAGGAATCAACAGATAGTAGTTTGTGTAAAACTGTAAAGTTAAAACTGATGTTCCAACACAAGGGTAACAGGTAAGGTAGAGCTTTTGACCAGTCACTCTGTAGACTGCGGCTCATAGACTGACCTAGTGAGACTTAGTCCAGTCATGTGGCTTCTCTGAAGTGTACTGACCAGAAGACCAGAGTGAGTGTACGCAACAGAGTTGTGTGACAAGCAAACCTGGTATGGAACTGTATCAATGAAACCAGTTGCAATTATACAATTCAATATACACTGAAAGCAGTACAATACATGATACATTGTAAGAAAATAGGTCTAACAGTCTCTAACAATAGACTTTGTGCCTTTCCCCAGCAATCCCTGTTCAACTCTGCGGTGATGATGCAGGAGTCCGGTGACCCGGCGCTGCGGCCGGAGGCGTACAGACGACTGTACGAGGTGAGGAGAATGAAATTAGTGAAAGTGATCTTGAACCAGTTTTAGCTCATTGAAGAGCTAATCTTCCACTGTTCGTGACAGACGTTATGTACAGTATTTACAGGTTGATTGTACCTGCCCACAGGCTGAATTACAGTGCGGAAAGATTTAACTATAATGTTTAACATACATGTAGACCGGTGTAACAACTTGACACGTATTGTAGCTCTGTTTTAATTATTCACAGCAAACTGTTGTTGAGTAATCTGACAAGATACGATATTTACAAGTCTGTGCTTGAGTTTGTTTGTTCTACATCTAAGAGTTCCATCGATGTATTCCTCAGGTCCTGGAACAGGAGCCGCAGAACGAGAAGGTGTATTTTAACCTGGGCATGCTCTCCATGGATGACAAGAACTTCACCGCAGCCGACCAGTGGTTCAGACACAGCATACAGGTCAGTGATAGGCCCGGTCAGTGTAATGGTCCAAATCCTTGAGCTGTCACATACTCGAGAGATCAGGTGTTTAGGGCTAGTGCAAGGGTTAGGGTTGGTATTAGAGTTAAGGTTAGGGTTAGAGTTAGGATCATTGTTTAGGACTACTCACCGGGGCTAGACTTACGATTAGGGTTAGGTTGTAAGGTTTAGAACCCTGAACCTTAAGAGTCTGACTGAACAATTCTTGAAATATTCGTGAAATCAACACTAATAATACACGTTTTTCTCTCACCACAGTTGAAGCCAGATTTCCGCAGTGCCTTGTTTAACCTGGCCCTGATGCTGTCCCAGATAAAGAGAGACCTGGAGGCCTTACCTTACCTGGACCAGCTCCTTCTGCACTTCCCTCACCACAGCAAGGGTCTCATCCTCAAGGGAGACATTCTCATGAACAAGGTCAAGGATGTGGAGGGGGCCAAAAAGGTAATTTTTGTTTGTTTGTTTGTTTGTTTGTTTGTTTGTTTGTTTGTTTGTTTGTTTGTTTGAACCATTCTTTATTCATGAAAGCTCAAAGAATTGGCATGCAAGCTGCTTTTCATTAAGGTCATGTACATGTAGTACTAGTAAATTAATAAGGTAGTAGAAGTACAACTGTTAACAGTTAACTAGTATTAAGCCCTTTTTATTCTTCCTTCTTCTTTCCTATAAGAGTTTCTCATATGAATTTTTTTATATATCTTCAGTTATGATAACTGCATTTCAAGACACTCCTTGACAAGTCGTCATCAAAAATAAACTTAAGATTCACAGTAATATAACAAAAAGTACATGTACTAACAGTAAAACATAAGAATAACAAGACTTATTTTTTACATTAGTCCCTCTCTTGCATGTGTATCTAAACTAAACATTCCCTTTCTTCCTTCTTCCTTTAGTGCTTTGAGAAAATTCTGGAGACCGAACCAAAGAACATCCAGGCCAACCACAACCTGTGTGTGGTGTACTTCGAGCAGGGAGACTTGTACCGCGCCGAGAAGTGCCTTGCCAAGGCCCACGAGTTAGCGCCTCAGGAGGACTACATTGTCAACCACTGGAACATCGTCAGGGGCAAGATTCAGCAAGCCGAGATGGCCAGGAGGAAGCAACAGCAGCTAGAGAGGGAGAAAGAACAGGAAATGGAACAGCAAAGGCAGTTACAGAGGGAGAAGGAACAGCAAACGGAACTACAGAGACAGCTACAGAAGGAAAAGGAACAGCAGTTGGAACAAGAGAAGGAAAAGCAACAATCGGAACAGCAAAGACAGCTGCAAAGGGAAAAGGAACAGCAGTTACAGAGAGAAAGGGAACAGCAAATGGAACAGCAGAGACAAAAGGAACAGGCAGAAAGAGAAAGAGGATAAACCTCATCAGGAGAACTGAAGAGGTTATATTTAGAGCAAAAATGCACAACATACAAGAGAGAAGACGTATCTAAAGGTATATTTTTGCAAGAGTAGGAAAAATTAGCTAGCTACAGTAGAAATGTCATATATAGCAAAATATCCTGATTGCATGTTTTAACTTTTCTTCATTTTGGTTTAAGTTGTGTGGCCTATTATGTAAATTTTTGTGCCTAAGGCAATCAAAAGATAGTTAGATCATAGTGACAAGTCGAAGACATAGCAAGGGATGTTCCAAAAAATAAAATTATTGTTGTCACAGATCGTTTAGACAGAATGGCTGGACAGTTGTTTTAGGTTGATGGAAACTGTCAAATTGAAAGTCTCTATTAAGTGTTCTCAGTCACTTTTTGTGTGACACAATTTTACCTTCTCAAACATATCTTGTTGTCCGCAGACATGGTTTTTGTCTTCCTTTAAATCTTAAGAAAGTTTAGAACATGCTGCCAAGACTACTTAAAGTTAAAATTAAATATGTTTTTTTTACTAGTCTAGTACTTAAATATAATGTTATGCAATTTGGAAGTGACAATTAACTTTCAAAGGTATCAAACATATCAGACTTTAGAAGACAGCAATATCAAACATACAGAATTGTTCTGGATAAAAACAAAATCAATATGTAATGTAACAAAGTACTGTGTGCTTTTTATGTTAAAAAGACTTGATGTTTTGTGTTACAGAGAAAAATAAGTCTTCCTTGTTCTGCAGTGAAGTTTTTTGACAATCAAAGGCAAGAGCCTTGTTGTAGTTAAATGTTTGTTGTAACTTATATAGGTTTGTTGTGTTGTGTGGAACGTATGTAACATATCATACATTGCATTACGTCCTTTTGACGTACATGTACTTATTGGTGAGAACACATATCAGCTTTGTTTTAGTGTTAATCTTATAGCCTCTACCAGGCTTCAGAGGGCGGCTGGAAAGAGTAGAAATGGGCCAAATAGAGACAGAGATAGTATGCCAGGAAAGTTGGTCCACTAGAGAGTACATTTTGCCGCAACTCCCCTGGCATACTATCTCTGTATTTGGCCGACTTCTGCTCTTTCCAGTCGCCTCCCAAAGCCTGGTAGAGGCTATGAATCTAATAATATGGGTGCATATTTCTATTTCGTGTGTGTTTTTGTGTAAATAGACTTGTTTGTTTACAATCTAAGAAAGAGTGAATATTTAATATGAGTATGCAATTTTTTAAATAAAAGCAATAATGATGATTTTAGTTATGAAAGACAATCTTTGCAGAAGAGCAATCAAATCACAACTTGTGTGTGTGTTGAACCAGAACGCGTTATCTTTCACTGGGTCATCTTGATGTCATTGGGATGTTTTCAACACGAACGGAAAAGTAACAACAAATGTGTTTTGTGTGAACAGCTTTTGTACATGTGCAATTGTGCCAAAGAAGGCAATACAGACATCTGTGCCTTTGGTAGACATTTCTTATATAAGAGTGGAGTTTTTTTAGTATGTAATTCGAATAATTTTGAGTGACTAGAGGCCAACTCTATGTGTAGTTTTGTGGAAAATGATGAAATCAAAGTTGTCAAGAATACCATAGAAAACAATACATATACATGTATTACTATTAACAAATTGTTGTCACATTGAACTTATCGATTGAACTTATCACTTGTAACAATTTCTGATTAAACTGAAGAAACAGATGAATAACGTAAAGGTTGTAGTCAATGACTGCTCTCCATACTCTCCAAGCAGATCCTAGGGTGGCAAAAGACAGTATCAAATTGGCCAGCCAGTATCCATTGACCAGAGAGGGAAAATATGCCACCCAAGGCGTATTGGACCCTCTCTGGCCAATGGATTGACTTGACTTAATCCTCTTCGCCCGTCCTAGAGCACAGGGCTTCAGTGAACGCTCTCCACCTCCCTCGATCCCTTGCGATCGTCTTAACCTCGTGCCACGAGGTGTTGGCTGCTGTTAGGTCCTTTCTGACACCTCTCTTCCAGGACAACCGCGGTCTACCCCTCTTCCTTGTCCCTTGGGGGTTCCAGTCAAGGGCAGTTCTAGTGATGGATTCTGGGGGTTTCCTTAGTGTATGACCAATCCATCTCCATTTGCGTCTTCTGATGGTCATCTCTACTCGTTCTTGGATACTGGCTGGCCAATATTTTCATTTGATACTGTCTTTTACCACCCTAGGATCTGCTTGGAGATTAGCTCTCCATCTACCGCCTGATCGAAATCGCGTCCGATCTCAGAGCCCCACCCACGTCCATCAAAATGTAGAAATGCAAAACATAAACTTCAAAGCTCTCTCATTGGTCGAACCACTAATTAATTGCCATGTTGTCATTGGTTGAACTGCTGATTTATTGTGATGGCCAAGTCAAAGGAAGAAAAGAAAGAAGTAGAAAAATCCCTGGTCTAAAAATTGGTTGCAGACATCAACGTGTGAAAGCTGAAATCTTGGCAGTGTGTCAAAGGTGCACAGTTAACTACTTTACTCTAGCGGCAGAGTGCTTGACTCGGAACCAAGAGGTCCCGGGTTCGAGTCCTGACATGCCACCGATCTTTGTGCCCTTGGGAAAGGCACTTTACACGACTTTCCTCACTTCGCTCAAGTGAAAATGACTATTGTATTGTCCTGTGTTGGTTGCCACATTAATATAAGCTGACAAAACTTGAGTGTGCCGTCACTACGTCTTGTGATTACATGTTGGAATATTTTTAAAAAACTACTTTGGACGATCCTCCTTCACTGAGGTGTGCTTTGAACATATACAGCAAAGTAGCCATTTGTTGAATTAGTGATTGCCTACATTTTTGCTGAATTAGTGATTCCTACATTTTCAATTCTTTTTTCCAATTCTTTATTTCCATACAAGATTACAGATATACAATATAGAATTATAATGTTGCCTGAATGGTATTGACATTTTACATTATAAACCTTGTTAAGCAAGAAATTATACCTAATATATTGTGGTAGCCTGGCCTGGCCGGTACCTGGTTTTCCGTAAACCCTGTTGTTCCTTTGTGTTCATCCTCAGAAAATGTATAAGACTTGATGAAATATAGATCTTGTTGATATACGGGCTTCAATGTACTATATACTGTATATACATGTACTAAAATACATCAATCCCTCGCTTTTCCATGGGTGTACTGTTGTGTCAAACAAGCTGCAATACTTAATACATGCTGCTATACTTAATACATGTAATTGATGGTAAGTTCAGCACCAAGGACAGGGCCACACTAAGACCGCACAACACAGTATTTATGGGCGAACCCGTCAAAAGTAGTCCGGGCACAAAGTAGTGCTGCATAATACTAGGGAAAGGTGCAGAGACTGTTCTGTACATGGCATCGAGATGGAACCTGTGGTAAATGTTAGAGGAATACGTCAGTTTTGAGACTGTAAAAGTTTAATTATGGTGCGTGTTCAGTCGGCGTAGATTGCGCTTGGATACTTGTCCCGCCTGTGTGCGTCGGCTGCAGTTCCATGACCTATGACACTTGGGGTCTCCCAAGTGTGCGGCGCGGCGTGTTGTGTGCGAATTCTCTCCAACGTTTGAGGTAAATTTTCGGCTTTTTGCCCGCAAATTATCCGTCTCAAGTGTACAGTATATAGTCTGGACGTTTCCATGTCGGATGTCTGCCGTTCTTTGGATGTTTGAGGGAGAAAACTCGTGTTTCCTGGCGCTGGCGGGCGGAGTTTGGAGATGAAACGAAAATGGCGACTACCATGGCGGCGTGGCGTGGTGCTGAAAAAGACACGTTCTTGGGAGGTAAGGCAAGTCAAATTAGCTCCTTGAATGTGCATGTTTGTACTTCCAACAAACCTGTAGCATCAGACCACGTTATAATTCGTTATTTTAACTGTTATATTCCGTAGGAATTTGCGTTTTGTGGAACGATATCGTCGCACCATGGAGTTTCCATCTTGGTCGCACACAAATTTTTGTGTGCCATTTTGACTGTACTTGAGTATTTTTAATAGGGAGGCTGTTTTCATGACTATCGTGGTTTTGGGGAACACTGAATATATTTCTTTCGTGTTGAGTGTCATTGAAAAAAGCTAGGAGAAAATTTCGCTGCTATAACTGAACACTTACAAATACGTTTTTTTGTTGGAAATTTCCACAGTTTGGCCCAGTGAACACCTTTTGGAACGTACCGCACGTGTGCATAATTAAACCCACTCAACGTTCCCGCCAAAAAAGTCGCGTAAACAAGACTCCCCCAGGCTAAAATTAACTGGGTCGGTGCATATATTAGTTACTTCTAAGCACCCAAAATTAAACCTGTGCACAAGTAAAAATACATGTAGTTTAAATTCGGTTTTGTTGCTGGTTTTTCCTTGCTTTTGAACCAGAGGTTGTCACTTTCAATTGGTATTTTACTGGATTTTATAATTCATTGCCAAATTATATCTGTTATTGATATATAATTGTATGATGCAGTCACCGTGGTTGCACTGATTTGATTTTGAGGATGAACTGTGCAATCTTGGTCCTTTATTGTATCATTTATTATTATAGTATGTGTTAGTTATTTGAGTAAATATAAGTGTGTAACTGCTAATGTCTGTATAGTTAGGTGGCTGCTAACTGATCCAGTAGTGGAGACTCCTGTCTGAACCTGACAAGAGAAGATTGGACCAGACCAGATTATTTGAATACCGAAGAGGAATATCAGGTGAGAAAAATCCCAATTATGGATTTTATCTACCATTTACTTGGTATTATTTTAGACAAGTGTGTAACTGCTAATGTCTGTATAGTTAGGTGGCTGCTGACTGATGCAGTAGTGGGGACTTCTGTCTGAACCTGACAAGAGAAGATTGGACCAGACCAGATGATTTGAAGACTCGAGAGGAATATCAGGTGAGAAAAAATCTCAATTCTGGATTTTACCTACCATTTACTTGGTATTATTTTAGACAAGTGTGTAACTGCTAATGTCTGTATAGTTAGGTGGCTGCTGACTGATGCAGTAGTGGGGACTTCTGTCTGAACCTGACAAGAGAAGATTGGACCAGACCAGATGATTTGAAGACTCGAGAGGAATATTAGGTGAGAAAAAATCTCAATTCTGGATTTTACCTACCATTTACTTGGTTTATTTTAGACAAGTGTGTAACTGCTAATGTCTGTATAGTTAGGTGGCTGCTGACTGATGC